ATTTCCATCCATAACTGCTACATTCGAAGGACTAATATCTCATACTCCTTCCATACCAAGTGTTCCCCATTGTCCAAATTCAAAAGTTAATGTACCTTTTTTTTTTTTTTCTTTTTATTATTATTATTATTATTATTATATTTTTTTTTGGTAACATCACTTATTTAACATTCTTGCATTGGGTTTATAAAAAGTTACTTACTTTATGATATTGATAATTTGACATAGAACCCTTCTAAAACCAATATCAATTTTAAGAGAGAGGTTTTGAGAATATATATATATATATATATATATGGTTATTAAAAAAAAAAAATTTGGCTATCCCAAAATAAATATTCAAAATACCTTTTTTTTTTTTTTTTGTAACATTATCAAATATAAACTTGAACTTACAAAAAAATAAATGGTAAAATGCATTGAGATCCCTGGAAAAAATGAGTCACTCCCTCCCAAAACAATATGAAATTATTTTTTAACCCTTTGACTTGTCAACAACTCCATTTAAATCATAAAATACAAATTTAACCTCCTAACTAAATTTAATGGACCAAACTAACATCTTCGTCTATTAAAAATTAAAAACAACCATTCCCACTAATTATCTTATCTCATCTCATACTCACTTTCCTTCCTTTACTCATCTCAATCACAAATCCAACACCACCACACCGCAATATTTTGCACCCAAATTCTATGAATTAACTTGCCCTAACCGCTATCTCCTCCACCGCCAGTTACGTTTCCCTCCATCGGCCATCAGTAACTCTTCCACCGGCAAGAAGAATAACGAGGGGGGCAATTTATCCAAAAATAAATCAAAAATTAGTATAGTAAAAAAGAGGGGAATGTTAAAGATTGGGAAGAAAGAACGAGGGACTGTCGGCTACTACGTACTAAAATGAACCAAAAAAAGAAGAAGAATTAGAGATTAAAGTAGAGAAAGATGTTTAATGATGAGGGTAGTTTTGTCAATTAACAGAACTGATATTTTGTAAATTAATTGAATTAAATAATCAGGTGCAAATATGACATTTGAAACCACAGGGGATGTCATTGTTAAAAAAATCGTTGATTCACATCTGAGTGACATTGACCAAAATCTCATAAGTGTCAATGCAATTGATCCAAAAATAAATGATGACATCGTTGTGGACTTATTATGGATGGATTTGATAATTCATTTACCACAAATATAATAAAAGAAATGAGGCTATATTTATATTCCATTTTTCTCCATTTGCTCCAATTTAAAAGGAAATGACATTTTCAACCTTAAATGATTTTTTTTTTTAAAATTACCCTTCTAAATATGGTTAGTCCCACTCTCTTTTTTCAATTTTTAATATTTTTCATCATTTCTTAAAGGACATAACAAAAAAAATATCTCCATAAAAAAAAAAGGGACCAAAACATATCCTAAAACATATTAAAGCAATTTACGCGTGAATGCGAAAACACAGGTTAAACTTTTATGGACAATTCTTAAGTCTTTAGTAGTGAGGATCTACAACATACTCACCGCTAATGTGGATCAATAATCATATTTTAATTATCAAATCATAGATGGTAATCAAATCACTATTTCTGATTTGGTAAGTAAGTATCAACCTCACCATCTTTGATTTGGTAATTATAGATGACATATCCATTTATTATTGGTCCACATCAATACAAAGTACTTGTAGATCTCACTAGTGACATAAGTTTGGACTTTTCTTTTCTTCATATTTGTTTTTTTTTTTGCGTGGGTCAAAGGACAAAAGAATGAAATCAAAATCAAGTTTTCCAAATGAATGGAATTTTATGAAAGTTTAACATGGACATGGAAAATTATATATATCATCTTTTTATTTCCAAAATATCCTTCTATTGTTGTTATGAAATTCTACGGCAACCTTTCTTCCCAAAGGAATAACCAACAATCCCATCTACCATCTCTCTCTTTTACCTACCTAACCAGCAAACCCATTTTTTTTTTATTAAAAAAAATGGCAAATCTTTGTTCTCCCCCTCATGTTTTCTCCAAAACATCTTTTCCTCCAAACCTGATTTAAACCCAAAATCTATATCAAGATAAAAACAAAGTCAAGATCCAAGCTGAGATTCAAAAACCCAACACGAAACATCATGAAAAAACCAACACAATCCCCCGTAATGGTTGATCCACGGCTCGGCAATACAAAAGATTGATGCAAATGCTTGTGGATCCATAAGAAATCTTCAAGTGGGTCTGTGAAATCCAAATCACACCATAAAAATTGGAATATTCACAAATAAGTAACAAATATCTCTTGATTTCTAGGGTTTGGTTGGACAAGGCGACGTCGGCGAGGGCTTGGGTGTAGCTTCCGGCAGTGTTGTCGGCCATCCTGGCTCCGCCACGTCGTTTTCGGTGATTTTGACGGTGTGTTTTGGGAGTTTAAGAAAATAGGAGCTGCCGGAGAAGTAGAGTTTGAGAGGATTGGTAAAGATGTGTTTCTCTTCTCTCTCTAGATATGAGAGTGGTAGTAGCATAATTTCATAACAATAATAGAAGGATATTTTGGGAATAAAAAGACAATATACAGTAATTTTTCATGTCCACGTCAGATTTTCATAAAATTTCATTAATTTGAAAATTTTGATTTTGACTTTGTCCTTTTTCTTTTGACCCCAAAACTCCATTAATTTTATGGAATTATTCCATATATTTTCACAATTTTGTTTTTCCCCTGATAATACATGATGATGGTTTTTACTTTTTGCAAAAGTTATTCTTGTAGTGGGTTTAATAGGTAATTTTTTTTATGACTCATATTTCGAAATTGTCAGTCTTTGGTTCGATTGTTATCATGTACATTCGTGTTTACTTTGCCGTCGAATATTCAAAAAATACGTCAATCTTGTACATTCGTGTTTACTTTGCCGTCGAATGTTCAAAAAATACGTCGTTGAAAGGATTCTATGTTATAAAATTAATGAATAAATACATATGAGACGGTCGAGCAATAACTTGTCAACTTAAAATTGCTTTTGGATTTCTTAATCTTGATATATTTGAACCAAAGGCATGAAGCTATTAATCAATTTGGCGGAATGTTTCAATTCTTGCTAGGTCATAGAGAAGTTTAAAGACAAAGTCCTCCTCCAATTTGATATCAATTGTATTATATGATATGTATATGCATCTGTCAAAAAAAATAAATAAATAAAAAATAAAAGAAAGAAAGAAAAGATAAAGAAATGGATGTGTGTATAATTCGGAGTATATCAATATTCTACTGTTATTTCTCAATAAACAATATCAACTTGTAAGAAGAGTTTTCTACCTATTAAAAAGAAAAATGCAAAAATAAAAAGGCTTGTTTCAACAAAGTCCACTTTTTTTCGAAATATCTCTTAGGGTTTGGAAATTGTGTCAATCATAATAAAAAAGGAATTTTCGTGGTTATACACTCCTACTCCAACCTGTGATTTACCAGAATTTTAATTCTTACTTAAATTATATGGATTCTGTTAGAAAATCTAGGTGTGGAAGATGGTAGATACTAATGAGTTACGAATATTGAATAAATTTACCATCAAGAACCTTCTGGTATAGTGGTGTGAGTTTTTTGTCAAAAAAATAAAAAAAAAAAATCAAATAATAATAATAATAATAATAATAATTTAAAACACATGTAAGTTTCTTTATAATTATTGAATAATCTTATACATTGTTAAGGTCTTGTGATCCAGTGATATCTTCTCTACCTTTCAAAGTAGATGAGATGGTTCAAGTCTCCTAAAGAGCAAAACAGGTGTGAGTGGAATGTGTGAGCTTCTTGCCAATTACCAAAAAAATAAAATTGCCAATTAATAAAAAACTACAGAGTATAAGAGAGACATTAATTATTGAAAAATGGCAGACTTGCATAGTAAGCAAAATGCAGAATCACCTTGTAATTGAAACTTGAAAGTGGATGAATTGGATTTAATAAATAACAACTTCTCACACTTTCTTTTTTGGAGTGAAAGAGGATCCAAAACCGGTTTCAATGGGTAGAATTAAAAACTAGTTCTCAGTTTTTTTGCACTACTACTCGTTTCTGAAAATGATTTAGAATTCTTTCACCTTAATGATTTCCGTAATTTAAATACACATATATTCATTTTTAAGCATATATTTCATCTATAATTAAGCAAAAAGAAAGTGAAATCCGGCTTTGTATTTTTTTTTTCATTTTTTTTTTTTAAAGGTGAAATTCTTTCCCTTTCTTATTAATGTCAGAATACAAACTCTACATTCTAGAAAGCACCAGTGCAGTCTCTACTAAGACTACCATGCTAAAATACCCCAAATTCTCAAGAAAAGCAACAGGTGTAGTGATTTGTGATTTGTTCTAATAACCAACTATATGTACTTTGTTCTGTTCTCTGGCTCACACATCTTCAATAAATAAATAACATATTAATGTACAAGTGTACATATATATATATAATGTAAAACAAAACTCTAGAACAGTTAGAGCCACATCTGACGTAAAAATAAAGATCAAATTCCACCTGAAATGCATGCCACAGACTGCAGAGCAAAAAAAACTTGGAATTCATTTAAAAAGTCGAACAAATAAACCAATTCAAAACCCCAAAATACCTTAATTGAATAAAGAAGCATATGTATGTTCAGCTTCTTTACATGATCATGATCCTACTAAAAAAAAAAAAAACCTTTTTGGTTTTTTCCTCCACAGCAAGCTTGGACAATCATGCTTTCCATGAAGAAAATAAACACAAAATGACAAGACTAAAAAGTCCCTATTGGAGAAAAACAAGAAAGAACCTAGATTTTTTTTTTTTTTTTAGGTAAAAAAGAAAGAACCAAGATGGTTCCTCTCTAAGCAACTGTCTTCCCCACCCGAAAGCAATAGTAGGAACAGTACGTTCTGAACAGAACTCATTCACAAGCCAAAATTTGAGGTACATGCTGACCTCTCAGTTCCAAGAAGTTGCTGCTGCTGCAAAAGAGTGGAAGAAATTCAAGCAAATGAGTTGTAAGAGGAAGATGGATAACAATAACCAGCTCCATGATAATAATCAGACTCAACACCCCCTTCAAACTCCATTTCAGGAAGCTCATTGAGATCAAATTCGAGCACTTTCCGCCCCGTCTGACTGGCTTCCCCGGGAGACGTAACCTGAGCTGGAGCTGGAGCTGGAGCCTCCACAGGAGCCGTCCAGTGACACCTCTTGTGACCCCCAAGAGCTTGGCCTGTAGGGAAAGTCTTGTTGCAAATCTTGCATCGGTGCAGTGTGCTCTCCAGCACCAGCATTGAGCTGGCCGCCCCTTCGTCAAATTGGGCATTCGGATTGGCATCCTCACCAACTGGAGATAGTGACTCTTGAATGGTGGTATTCTTGAATTTGTTGTGGCTTGACCTATGTCCACCTAAAGCTTGGTGAGTTGGGAAGCACTTGTTACAAGTGCTGCATTTGTACTTATCAGCTGCTGGTGTTGTCATCACAGTCTTCTGACGTTGATGATCCAATGGAGTGGTATCTTGAACCGACGATTCCAAATCTCTCAGATTCATCTTCTTCGTCCTCTTCTTGTTCTTAAGCACTATTGCAGGATCACATTTATAATCCATGTTCTGTGCACTGAGAAAGCTACCGTCTGTGCCTTGGCTGTCAGATTCATAATCTGTGAAGTTCTTATAATCATACTCATCTGCTTGGTGGTGCCAATCTGTATTAGATAATCTATAATTCATGCTCTCCTGAACAAATCCAGTGCCAAACACTGCTTTTCCTTTGGATTTATCCACTGTTTTCGGCATCAAACAGCTGGTCTTCACATCATTATCCCTCATGTATCCAACTGGTTTCGTCTCCATTATTCTTCGTTTCTTAGATTCAGAAACCCAATTCTTCTCACCAGAATTACCATTCGTAGCCTCAAATTCCTCAACTACGTGTTTGTGTGTGAGTCCGGACTCCAAAGAATTCCCATGAGCTAGCATCATGAGATCTTCCACAGCATCACGCATCTCCTCCTCCTCCTCCTCCTCCTCAGACGAACTTGAAACAGCTGAGGCGGCGGTGAGGGCTTTCCGGCCTCGCCTGTCGGTCACTGACCACCGTGGTAAGGACTGTTTCAGATCAGTAACAGTATCAGCAATCTGATCATCATGATCATCATCATAATCATTATCGAGTTTCCGAGGCAAAGAATCCGACACGGAGGAGGACGGACTGGTTTTTGGATCCGCCGCCGCCGAAGTACGAGGCTGAATTCCCCTATAAGGCCTCTCGGGATGGCACCTCATGTGCCCAAACAATGACTTCATCGACGGAAACTTCTTGTCACAAATCGAACAAGTGGGTACGCTGCTACTGTTGCTCATCATCACAGACGTCGACGACGACCCATTGATAGTGTTGTTGTCGTCGATCAAATAATTATCGTGTTTTTCTTCTTCTTGTTTAATTTTCTTGGCGATGGGTTGTTTGTGTTGATTGGTTTTGAGCTCTTTCTTGGCATGAACGTGAATTCTCATGTGACCACCCAAAGCTTTACCGGAGCTAAACCCTTTGTTACACACATCACACACTCGAGTGATGATTTTATCCTTCTCCTGAGGAGGAGGAGGAGGTGGAGAAGAGCTTTCAAACATCTGGCCCTCTTCTTCTTCTTTCACCTGTGGAATCTTCAGTTTTATCAGAAGCTTCCCTTCACCAATTTCTGTTGTTTCTTGATGCCCACCGCTTTCTTGATCATCATCCATCATATACCATATGTTTATATATATATATATAGCTACCGTGAGAACAAAAAGAGTACCGAGACAGCCCACTGATTTGGATTAGAGACTGTGGAGAGAGAATAAGATGAGTTTAGAGAGAGATAGATATCAAGAAAAGAGAGAGGAGAAGTGACCCAATAAAAAGAGATTTTGTTTAGATCAAGAAGAGGCGGTTCCTTAGCCGGAGAGAAAACATACCCAGCAAGAAAATTATAATATCACATAAATTAAGGTGCAAATCTTCTTAAGTATTAAAAGTGATATGGTGACATGATGGCAAGAGACAAAACTAGGGATGATAATGGGGTGGGCTTGGACGGGTGTACTCTCTTTTATTTCTATAATCGTTTAAAAATTTTACCATCGTTTTTGTCCAAAATAGTAAAAATATATAAATTTTTCATCCCATCCCCGTAACCCGCTCCGCCCTTTTAAGATCATAATTTATTTATTGTTAAAATAAAATTGCTATAGTGGTAAATATATATACTAATGAAATAAGGGTACTTATGTAATTTGTCTATCTAAACGGGACGACCTTCCCCGCTCCCGTACTAAACCCGCGCAAGTTTTTATTATATCAAATCATCCCCACCCAAATAAGCAAAACGGTCACCCAAAATTACCAAAAACGAGACGGGGCAGGTCAAATTGCCATACCTAGACAAAACCGTTTTTTTTTTTTTTCAATTTAAAATATTAGTTGTTGCACCTCCTCATCATATCAAAATTATAAAAGGCTGCTCAAAATTTTAAGTGAAATAAATGTCTTATTTTGTGAAAATGGGCATACTCCTTTGTATTTTGACCGTTCAAGACTTGAAGCTGTGCTTAATATGCAAATTATTAAATCAAAGAAATCAAAACATTTTGTGAAAATCAAATTCTTTGTGCCTCTAGACGTTGCATCACATAAAATAAATTAAATACAAGTTGTAAATATTTGAGAATTCAAAGTGGTTAGGGAGTAAGTTGATTAATAATAATAAATAAATACTCTCTCCGTTAAATAAAATAAAAAAAAAATCCGTTTTAGGTAATTTTTTAAGAGGATGACTTTAGTATTTTTTAGGGAGAGCACTCCACATTTTTACACTTACACCTCACTTACTATTTTCTTCTAAAGGAAATAACAAGAACAACCTTTAAACTCATAAACACATTACTCTTATTTTGTTATGCCATAACTATCATTTATATCATAAACTTTAACTTTTTTTTTTACCTTCTTTATTTCCTTTAGCATATATATTATTTTTGTGCATTGTCTAAAGAGAGAACTTGGATAACTTTTTTAGGGTTCTTTTTTTTTTTTTTTTGGATTTATTTATTTATTTATTTTTGAGTCCTACCTACCATTACCACATTAAAGATAAAAATATATATATTTAATATTCTGTAATATTATACGGAGTATACCTTAGCAATTAAATATTGAACTGAGTAATAAAGCATATTAAATCCATTTAAGTTATAACTAGTACCGTACTTCTCCTAGGGTTGAAATTGGGACAAACTTTTACCACCCTGTTTGTTTTTTTACCATCCATATACTATTGTTAAATTGGGAACCACCAATATACTATTGTTAAATTGGGAAGCAAACTTTCTTTCTTTAAAGGTTGACGCTATTACCTTCCATTCCAAAGCATACAATCTGCGTACATAGGCAATTTCATTTAGAGAAATGATTCTTGCAACAAATAGTTATAATGAATTGTTAGACTTACTTTTTTAATTGGTCAATTATGTAACAAATAAGGAAATAGATCCCTTCACTTAGTTGTTTTTGGTATAAATAACTAATTAAAATTTATTCGGTTAGACAATTCACTGCAAATTTTCGGTAAAAGTATCACTACTCTCTCATTTAATAAAGAAAAATGATTCTTGCACCTAATAATTACAGTAAATTATACAGCAAATAAGGAAATAGAGTTTTCCACTTGTTGTATTTGGTATAAATAAACCAATTAAAAATTAGGGATAATTCTATAAAAATGGAGTTTTGGGGGTCAAAGGACAAAGAATGAAGTCAAAATCAAATTTTCAAAATTAATGGAATTTTATAAAAGTCTGACGTGGACATGAAAAATTACTATACATCATCTTTTTATTCCCAAAATACCCTTTTATAGTTATTATGAAATTACCTTAAACTCACGAAACACACCGTCAAAATCACCGTCGCCAAGTCCAACTAAACCCTAGAAATTAGGAGATATTTGTTATTATTATTATTATTTTTAAAAAAAGTTAGATATTTGCTACTTTGATACTGTAAACCTTCCAGCAAAATGTAGAAAGGCCTAGTTCTCATTTGTGAGTATTCCAATTTTTATAGTGTGACTTGGATTTCACAGACCCACTTAAAGATTTCTTGTGGATCCACCAGCATTTGCATCAACCTTGGTATTGCCGAGCCGTTGATCGACCATTACAGAGGATTGTGTTATTTTTTTCATGATGTTTCGTGTTTGGTTTTTTAATCTCAGCTTGGATCTTGATTTTTCTTTTGTATGATATGAATTTTGGGTTTAAATCGGGTTGGGAGAAAAAAATGTTTTGGAGGGAAAGTCAATGTCAGCTTTCCCTTTTTTTTCCTTGCCCAAAATAATTGTCTCGATACTTTTTATTATTATTTAACATTGGGTTAAGTGCAAGAAATCTCTAATTAAAAAAATAAATAAATAAAAAACTTGCAAAAGAACACCCTTATTAAAAATTTAAAAAAAAAAAAAAAAAAAAAGTGCATAAAACTCCCTGCATTATCAATTTTTTGAGCAAAATTGCCCCTATTGAATAAATCTGTTGAAAAATAGCTGTGATGTCATTTTTTTTTCCTGAAAATTCAAAAATACCCTTTTGTGTAACAAGAATACTCCTACCAATTTGTTCGCATGTACTTGAAAATATATCCACGGAAAATTTTCTCTATACTAGTAATATTTTTTTCCTCTCTCTAAAATATCTCTATGTTGCCATTTAGCAATCTCTTACCAAGAAGACATCTTATATATATATATATATATATATATATATATAGACACACACACACACACACATATATTTTATGATACTATATTTTATTTGGTTTGTGAAGTGAAATAGTGGCATGTGTACATCATTTTTAATTTTTTTAGAATATTATTTATTTCAACACACACAAACACACGCATATAGAAACATAATATTTCCTGCAAATATTTTTTTCTAATTTTATTAATTCTGTATATTTTCCTTCCATTCCTAAAACTCTCCTTCTATAAGAAAATATAATATTTCTCTCTAAAATTTTTCTCTCTAAAATTTATGTGTTGATAGTATCTTTCTCTATTTTTTTTTTCTCTCTCTCTCTATACTAGAGCACCCAAAATCAACAAGCCCCGAAAAATTTCATATTATCAGTAGAGAGCACAACCCCCGGTAGACGTTGTTTGACCTGTTTCAAAAAATCAACAATCCATTTTCAACCTCTTCAAGAAAATCAAGAGAAAAAATTAAGTACCAATTACAAATTTTCAAAACAAATAGATAGAAATCATAAAATAAAAAAATAAAAAAAAGATATATGAAAAATAGAGAGAAAACGAGATAGAAAATTACTTCGGTATTAAGAAATGGCCATATTAGGAAGTTCGGATCAATTCTATGAGTATTTTTATTTGTGTGGGCTTGTTTATTTTTTATTTGTAAATTCTTACATGTACATATTTCTTCTTTAAATTTTAACTTGTGCACGAATATAACATGCAATTCCTTACTAATTAAGCAGTGTTGTCTCAATCTTTAATAAATATTTGGATTTATTTACGGCTATGGAATAAAAGATAAGGCTAGTTGCTATGTGAATAGTGTATGAAAAATCATATATGATTTTAAGGATAATTTTGACATTTTACCCTTTTTTTTAATTTTTTGTTAATGATAAAGTAAGATTAATTTAGTAATTTTATTATCAAAATTACGATTTCTATTTATCTACACAAATTGAAAAAAGTAGGGGGTTTTCTAACAATAAGGGGTAATTGCACATTTTGTATATTATGAGGGAATTTTTTGCACTTAATCCTTTAACTTTACACATTTTACCTTGTTCCATTGAATTTATAAAATGCAAAAGTGTAAATTAACCCCCAGAAGTTTCAGCAAGTGAGCATAATACCCGCTGTGGTATAAAAGTGAGCAAATTAGTCCATAGAGTTACAAAAGTGAGCAACTTGCTCCTTTGCATTTCACTTTCGACTATTTTACATTCGATGTTATTGTGTATTTACCAGTACTACCCCTTATAACTAACTTTTTTAATAAAAAATAAAAATAAAATATAAAAGGTAAAATATTACATAGCCCTAAATTTATTTAAGTGTTGTAACTCCTTATATAGGCCTCTGTTTGATTTATGTGAACTCGAGCTGAATGGTTTCCTACTCCTTTTTTTCTACAAAATTGGAGAACACGTGTCTATTAACTTTTTCCTCATTTGTATTTTTATTTATTATTATTATTATTACTATTTTGTAACGCTTCCTCATTTGTATTCATAGCTTGGTTTAGTAGATAGAAAAGACGAAAAATCATTCAGAGCACAAAACTAACTAGCAACTTATTAAAATTTCAAGCAAATGAAATCCTTGAAAGCTATTTTAAGGTGAAGAATGAGGAATACTTTGAGGCCAAAAAGGAATTTACAATATCACATTTCAAATCATATGTAAAAGTGCATTTGACTAAGTACCTTTCATAATTATATTATATCATCAGCTATTATGTATTACATTACAGACCAAAACTTTTCTAGCAGCTAGAAAAGATAGAAGTGAAAGAAATACACATGAACATATATATATGGTCCAACAATAATTTATATATATTACAACTTCCTATAATCAAATACATAAATAAATAAATAAATAAATATATATATATATATATGATAACATAGAGAGCAGATACAAAAGGAAAGGATAAAGCAAAAATGG